TAACTCCCTCGTGTGTGGGAACCACCATGATCCCATTCTACAACATAAAGGGCACGTACGCTCAACAGCGTGTCGCGCCGCAAACCTGGCCTGCTATTCGTAGGGTGACAAATGGTCTCACCTGTCACCCATAGGCCTGCAGTTACGGAGAACGGATGTAGTTCTGCGACTTTTGCGGGACCTGGCCCGTTCCTGGGGCTAGCGGACCGAGAGAGTTCTTAATCTCTCCCGGTCAAGCTCCGCCGTCTCCTTCGCTAGCATAACTTGCTCACAGAAGGAGACGTCAACCATGGTACTAAGTGGGAGAAAGCGGGGATTACCCTATAAATTTTGATTCTGTTGAGTCGAAGTATACGTTTTTTCGCGGCATAAACAGCCTTCCCTTTTTCACGTTAACTTAGAATTTTGATTTTTTAACAGATTTAAGGGACTTTTGGGATAGGATAAGGATATATATAGTTTTAATTTGAATACCTCCACGCTTTCCTGAGATAAAAGGTCTTGACAGACGAACAGACAGAAAGTCGGACAGCAAAATGATCCTAAAGAGTGTCGTTTTTTCGTTTCGAGGGAAAGAAACCTAAGAACAGGCAGGGTCATACATTCGTAAGCGTGACATAAAACTAAGGAAACGCATTACACAGGAATAGATCGACAAGGAATTTTAAAAAAACTGGCCTTGTCTCCTTTTCATGTGTGTTGTTAATTTTAAAAATTAGCAAGTAGGCACATCAGTTGTGGTGATTATTTGCGAAACTGTCTTTATTTAAAATGTATAATCTGCGATCGTATATAGGGTTCGCAACATCGTCGCTACTCCACGTTCGAAGAATTCCCGTGCTCTCAAATCATCCGAGTACAGCTCAATGGGTGGTTAAGCTTGCAAGTCAAACACCTCGTGTAAATGCCACTACAGACTACGCAGCCCATTTGTTGTGCTCTACTTGTGGCTGCTATATTATGCTTATCAATAGATAACGCGAGCGTTCTGAGAAACATTCAGGCATTTACACGGCATAATATCGTAAATGTGGCTCATTGTACTAAGGTATAATGTTAACAAACCTCAACAAAATGTAGTACGGAGTCAAGAAAGTCTTTGTAAAAAATCATTATAAGGTTATCGATGACTCAGTATTTGGATTTATCAATTAGTTGTGTGATGAGTATGATTTTGTAATTAGTGTTTAGTTGTTGATTTTAAACGGATACCGTTTAAAATATTTAATTTATTAACAAGAGCTATATTCCAGGAGTGTACTTTAAATAGATAACAAATTTTCTACGAATACGAGTACTACTATTAAAATATTGTATATATATTCATAATATAGAACGAATGACTAAGAGCAGAACACAATCATGGCGATAAGGTCCGCCGCCTTGACGGATAATGTGAAAAGGCAAGATTAATACGATTTATAAAACATTAAAAACGAACGAATATTGAAATCAAACAATATTTAAATGCCTATGTTCATGGAATGTTGTACCTAGGTCAGGCCATTCTGGTCGTGTAAGAAAATTAATCAAATAATATTTCGCTACTGCAGAAAACCAAAGATCATGATTGCTGATGTAATCTTTAGTGCGCTATAAAAGACAATATCTATATCTATCTATTTACTCTTAGGCCTCACTGACACCAAAATAAACAATTAAGACATACGTTCCAGCGCTGGATAGGTTATCTGCTAGTTGTCTGTTGTTCATATTGCTAGAATTGCAACGTTTGCACCTTGTTAAATTGTATTAAAAGTATTAAATAAATCACAATTGTTGCACATAGTTGTCGTAAGCCACGCATTCGAAGCAATTCTCATATTGTTATGCAACGTTTCACAATATGAACTTCATTTCGAATGTCAGCGGACTCAATAAAACAATAAACGTAATAGACAGGAGTCGGATAAACACGATGGCAGCTGCGAGCAGTTGTTCCTACTGCCGCGGCCGTCACATCACCGCCTAAGTACATACATGTACTTTACTGTAATACACTGATCAATGTTCCTTCGTTGTTATTTTCATGACTACTTAGGTCATAGTCCACGATAACTTGCTGAGTTTTGATTCTGTGTGGTACAAGACATAAGTGAGATTTAATGCTATCTATAATGCAATAACAAATAAGCTTTAATAATCCTAGGCAGTAAAAAATATCATCATCATCACATCAATAGTCCACTGCTGGACATAGGCCTCTTCTTAGAAATGAGGTTTGGGCCTACTATACTATACTATGGTTCTTGATGATGTGAAAAATAAAAAATATACTAAATTCAAAATTTAAAAAAAAAATAAAAACTACATCTTATCTTAAATATAAAATTCTCGTGTCACAATGTTAGTTACCGAAACGGCTGGACCGATTTTTATGAAATTTTGTGTGCACATCGGATAGGTCTGAGAATCGGCCCACATCTATTTTTCATACCCTAAATGACAAGGGTGACCCACCCCTAATTTTTTTTCCAATATTGCCTAAAAAAAATGTCTATGGCAAAACAACGTTTGCCGGGTCAGCTAGTAACATAAAGAAATCATCATCGTCTTGGTAAATGTTAATGCATTTGTCTGAGTGTTTTTATGCATTTGTCTGAGTTTAAACATTCATCAGTTACTTTATAGTTACACCACGTTATTGATGACTATCTGTACACACCGTTGGCTTACACATTGCATAGTGGACTGTACACAATGCAAAGATGTTCTAACCAGTCTTATCCAAAGCTAGATATATTTTATACGTTTTCGGCAAATGGATTAATTGGATTTAATTGCCACCTACATGCATTCTGTGCTCATTTATACACCACTTGACATGTGGTGTCATCGCCCGCAACCGTTGTTTTTTGCGCTGCGTCACTGATTAGGATGATGTCATCAATTTCGTCCAGCCCCCCCATGATCTGTATCCTGTGGCTTTGATGCGCGGAGTTCTGTGATTGCGCCTTCATAACTATTTTAACCGATGAAAACACTACCTTATTCTCACAGCCTTATAAATTATGGTCTGAATGGTGCCGTAGGCTACCAAAGGGTAGTCAAACTCCACAGTTCATTCTGTACAGCCCAGATTAGCACGCAATAAGATGATGTTGTGTTTATGGTGGGATTGGAAGGGCATAGTATGAATTTTAACCGCCGGCCATCTCTACAGAATTGATCCCCAGAAAAGGAGTGGTCTTCCCCCACCAGCTCGCACGCTTGGTGTTAATGCATCCGACATACATTTCTGACTTTTTACCCTCAGATTTTTACATGTTTCGATCTCTTCTGAATGTAAGGTTGGGTGTCGAGATAGAAATTAAAGATGTTGTTAGATCAACGATCAGATTTATTCTCCAGTAAATACAATAGTGATCACTACTTTTATCTTAAGATAGACATACGTATTATATATGTATTACTACACTACATGAATTCTTTGGATGATGTTAGGTTAACATCAATAGAAGACAGCCCAAACTACCTGTCGCATTTTTTTGATAAAAGGTGTCAAGATTTATATTGTAAGGGGATGACGAACCACGGACAAACCTACCAGATGGCAACAAGTTGTCGAACAAAATGGCATATACATATATTGCTCCTTTCTAAGGAGAGGCCTATGTCCAGCAGTGGACTATTAAAGGCTGTTGATGTGATGTGTGATGTGATATATTTTGTAATTAAATATATTAAAATTTGAAAAAAAGTCTTGAATTTGTATCTAAAATACGAAGAAACTTTTCCCCGACCTTAAATTTAATAGTTGTTTTATGTACACATTACGAGGTCTTGATTACATTCACCAATTGAATTAAGATTGATGTGTTCACGTTTGGCCAGTAACGCCAAACTGTCCATAAAGGGCAATCCAATTGTTTGTACAATAATATAAGTTTTCTATATTGGACATTTCATACGCATGTTATGAAAAATATCTAAATATCAATCATTTATGTATTCAATCAATCAGTCAAACTTTTCTAAATACCGTGTGGCCCAGTTGTAATGTATTGCGTAATTTTAGTATGATACTATTTTAGATAGTACTTCTATCAACATTTGCAACACAAATCAATAGCGTCAATGTAAATAGCGGTCTTGGATACGTTTACAAAGTGTAGGAATGTTTGTACACTGGAATAAAAATTAAATAGTTATGTTGCAGTTGTATACATGAGTTAACTATAGTCAAGTTAAAGTAATAAGATGTTAAGTTAATTGGTATCAAAATATTAATGCCGCGCTCTAGCTGTTGTGACGAGCGCCGCAGTAAGTTCATACAGAAGAGCTTTGTCATCAACTTTGTTCAAGCGTTGAATCGAGCATGTGGGCAACACTGTGTCAGTGATTGCTGATGTCATATTGGTATAATCTTAGAACTTTTAAACGAATTAAAATGTAGTTAACAGAAGTTTGATTGTACGGAATGGCAAGTGGCCACTTGAAAATGCGTTACTGAAGATGCCTGTGGCATAAGGACGATTCATTAACAATTAAATAGTTTCCTGTGACTATTTTGTGAAGATTGTATTTTTAGTATTTTATAAACAGAGATTTAGTCGCTGTTTATTCATGCCACTCATGTGCGTACCATAAAGTTCTGACCGTTATTTTGGTATTTGGGGAGATGTTTCAGGCATAAAGTCCTCAGCTTTAGTGATGAGCACGTGTACACGCAGTGCTACTCGTAGTACCTATCTGTGGTATGCCACATTTTGGCTCTTCTTGTAACTTAATGTGCGTTCATGTTAAAACATTAACCTATGTCCAACCAAACCTGCGACAAATAACTATCACACGCCAGGATCATCTAGAAGTAACAGTCGTATCGTCATGACTTTAGTATGGTATCATCAAAAAGCCCAGATGTTCATAGTTCAGTAAAGTAACTAACTGGCTATTTTCCCAACAGTTTTATAAAGTTTGACTTATTACATGGCGTCGTGACATGAATCTTAAAAGAAATCTAAAGTAACCCGTTACTAAAAGTTAAGTCCACCGCTCACCTTTGGATTAAGTTGCGGTTCAACTCAATATAGGTAGAATAGTGTGTGCACCGTCGTATCGGGACTCGTTTAGAAAGCACTGAGCCTGAGTGGCACACAGACACTGTCGGCGACGCGGGCACTCGGAACCGGCCTCGTTCACGAGGTGAACCGGCTTCACAAATTGACACTGCACACTCCACAACGGGAACACAGATTCTCGTCACAACACTCCTAGATATTTAAGTTTCACAAGTATTAATCCCTGGTCACTAGCGGTTTGAGATCGTCGCGCGAGTGCGACGAGAGGTGCGCGGGGAGGGAGGGGGCACGCGTTTACAACGCGAGTTATGCGATGCGCCGCCGACGGCTGACTGGCCGGACTGCATCAGTGAGCTGTAGAAAGACCGGTCGGCGGCCGGGAGCGTAGGGTGCGGGGCGCGGTGCGGATTGGCGCGGGGTGCGGCACGGCAAGGGCGAGGGAGGGGGTGACAGCGCTCTCTCCGCACGCAGCTTGCCCTATAAACTTGCTTTCTGGCCGCTCTTATATCGCGAGTAGGCTTATTGACTGGCTCCTCGTGCACTTTTGTGAAAGGCAAATAATTTGTATCGCGAGCTTGCTTTCGATATTTACGCCTTTTTCTTTTCTGTGCGTAAATCCCCTCGGATAACACCCACCAGTGGTTATGTCGATATTTACCCCTAAATATGCACGTACTTCAATGCAGGTACACAGGTTTCATCCGACGTATGATTGATGAATAACTGTCGTTTCAACTTTGTTATTGGTATAAAAACTTTGATATTTGTAGCAACAACCTAAGCCGAATTAAGTTTGTTGAGCTTCTGCGAGCAGTTTAATTTTCAATAGACTGCGACAAGCGTCATGAAATGCAATTAGTATGTTTTCGTATAAATAATAATCAGATTACAAAACAAAATCTTGTAATCTGAGAATTAATAAATGAATTTAGGTTAACCTCTACCGATGATGACTTAAATGCCATATCGAAGTCCGTAGTGCAGGTAGAGCACCGGCCGTGGCACCGGCGAGCCGCGCGGCTGTCTGCGGAGGTAGGCGGCGGAGAGCGGCCGCTCGTTGCCTCTCAAAGCTCGACGCGTTATGAGTTGAGTACCTACACATGACTCGTGACAATTTAAGTTCAGATTTTGCTATTTATATACCAAATCATGTAAAAATATAGTTCTAGCGAGTTACTATCGGACAAGCTCATAGCGTATACGTACTTATTCATTTGTGGATATTACACTGAATCTTCTAAGTTATATTCTTATATAATCCTAAAGATATTAAAGAAGCGCGAATCATCTCTTCTTTCAAAAAGATGCTTGAGGATCATGTAATCAAAAACTATAATTAATTGTGGTTAAATCTTAATGTCAATTAGACCAACAAACGATTTGGCTAAATAAATATAGAATTAAGTGAAACACATTTAAAAATAATTTTCATCATACAATATTGATTACAAAAATTAAAATGTCGCATCTAGTGAAGCGCACTAAAATTTAATATCTTTGTAGTGTGATGTCCATGTACGCTCTAAGTTAGTGCAGGTAGCAGTTAAAAACATTATTATTTTGCTACCGCTTTTAAGTGAGCTCGCAAGTAAAATATTATTGTGTATTACCTAGTATTAATTATGTTCTCATGTTAGGTGAATTGTATCATAATTCTGAGAATACATATTTTAAACCTAAACCTAAAGTAGTAACCTGGACGGACTTGTCAATTGTTTAATTTAGTTTTGTTTGTTTATTTTCTACCTAATTATTATTAGGAATCAAGTGGACTCGCCTTATCTTTAAGCAAAGTTGGCTTTGGTGCCTACGTACCATCGCACTATTTTCTGTGTCATTTGCTGGACTAAGCATAGACGGAATTCCTTCATACTGAGATCTTGCCTCTCGTTTAATAATCTTATTAATTTATGCCATGATGATTCCATAGGTGTGTTTCTGTATCCAAACACTGACCACTTTGTATGTTCTTTTGGCCAAAGCATGAACAATTAATGTTGATATCTCTCAGTAAAGCATAGCATAATCTAAGTAGAAAACATTATTATTTGAATTGCAGCATCAAGTCAGTTAAATATTAAAATAAAATCCGTTCGACCATTTTGTATAGCACAGGTCGAAATAGAAATAAAACCATAGAAAAATCCACAGTACGAACGAATGCGAATGACAGAATTAGTTAGTGTTACTTTTAGTTTTAGTAGAATTTGTAAAAAATCCTCAAAACGGTTTACTATTTTATATTTTAAACGGTAATCTCACATCTTTTTTAAACTTGTCAACAAAATAAACATTAGTTTACTGAAATAAAGCAGGAATTACAGTATTTTTGTAGCATTTGTAAATATATTTTGATAATTTGATTATTTTTACTTTGGAACAGTTTTATTCAACCTGTTTAATGGTTTTATTTACGCGACAACACAAACAAGTCATTTGATTTTTCCAATGAGTTTGAAATTAAAAATCAATTAAAAACCATTTTTATTATTTGTCACTTTTATACTACAATGTAGGGAACAATGTTATTGTATATTAAAAGAAAATTGATGGTAATTTACTTTGTTTACAAAATAGTTGTTCTGTCTGTGTAAAACTAACACAATTTCCTTACATAAAGCATTGAGCCATCGGCTAAAGGACTCTTCACGTGTATAATTTGTGGAGAGACATTGTGATCTTTCGCCTTATACTTATTAAATTATTTTCAGCAAACAATAATTAATGTATTTATTAAGTATGCTTTTTTATTTGAACTAATCTGTCATAGATATTAGGCATTTGTTTTGGTGCATTGCCGTTTCATTTCTTATATTTTGATGTGGGTATTTAAACCATTCGCGTCGCTACGTGGCGTTATACTATGGTGCAATAAGGCATTGAATGGTAACTCTTTCTGTCGTCGTCACTTTGAGAATCACTTCCCTATTCGGTAGCGATAACACGTGTCTAATTACGAATACGAACTGTCCGCTACTTATACAGCGCGGCCATTATTGCTCTAGATATTATTAAAGTGATTAGTATTTTGACAATAATGTTTAGAATTAGATTAGACGCACCACGTGCTCCAAGATATCTAGTTGGTGGCATTCGTGTATGACATCTTGGCACTCGCTTTTTCGAGACTTCATTTAATAACTTTTAACTTAGTTGTTATGTACGGCGTGGTGACGGATTAAGAATACAGAGTGTCACCATCCCTATTCATACCGTGGGTGTCGTAAGAGCCGACTAAGGGCGTACACTACACAGGACAACAGCACTGCAGAGAGAAGGAAAACCTATACTAACCCGTCTGGCCAGCGTGGTATAGTAGGCCAAAACCTCCTTTCTAAGGAGAGGCCTATGTCCAGCAGTGGACTATTAAAGGCTGTTGATGTGTGATGTGTAATGTACTTCTCCTCCTGGGCAGCATTTGACGGCATCTCAGACATACACCTACGTGGTCCCCAAGATCTGAGAGTTATGTGCTGCAGAGTTAGACTAATGTTTATGCTGTAGATATTTGGTCATATAAATAGTTTCTGTTATCTTTATTTTATTACACCTGTTTATCGATCCACTGTAATGTAATTACTGGCTTTTGACCGCGTCTCCGCCCGTATGTTGGTTATCGCGGTCAAAAGTAGCCTATGTTACTCGCTGATAATATAGCTTTCCATTGGTGAAAGAATTTTTAAATCGGTTTAGTGGTTTAAGCGTAAAAGCGTAACAAACAAACAATCCCACTTTTACATTTACAATATAAGACGTGCATTGTTTCTTATGATCATGAATACTTGAATAGTTGACAGACAGGCTTGGACTTCAGTCAACTTTTACAGTTGACAGTAAGACATGTAACTCTGTAGCGGGAGGTACGAACATCGCAGCACTCGTGACGTCGGTGAAGTACAAAGTGGCGTGGCAGGGACGAGCGCGGAAGTGGCGGCTCATGCTCCTGGAATTGGAGCAAACGCAAACGGCGTGTAATTAGGTGCGTTCCACTTCGCTCGCGCTTTGCCCTTCATTCTTTAAAAAATTACATTGAATGGTGTTGTACGTGAATGAGTGTACGAGTTGACGTTGTACGTATGTAATGTAATGTAACAAATTTAACGATGTATGTGTTTCAATATTTACGAGTTCCCTGTGTGTTCATCTGTGTTTATGGTCATCATCGTGCTCCTAAGGGTCTTGGCGTGATTTTAAACAACTACTACCAATAATCAGCAATATTTTACATATCTGACTGACAACTCCAGAGATGAAAGCGTTAATACACACAATGCCTGCCCCCCCCTCAAATAGTCAAGTTCCTCACGGTGAAGTTTTAGTTTAGGTATAACCGATTAAAACCAAACGTTGTTGCACCCCGTGTGAGGCGGTTACAAGGGACTCAGGGAAGATCTAAGGAGGAAGTTCTCGAAAACCCCGACAGATTAGGAACTCATCTTGGGCCTGTTTCTGCTAGGGTGACTTGCAGCCTCACCCGTTACCACCAAGGCAGCAACTTGGAGGACGCGCCGTTCAGGTCGGAGATCAATCTGAGCTTTATGTTGCTTGATGGCCCTCTGATGACATCACTTTCTCACAAAACACCCACACTTTGGATCATGGTCGAAAGCTTGAGGTTGTAAGTACTGAAGTTGGTTCAAAAACGCGTAAATTCAAGTCAAGTTCTTTCGTCACAGCAGGGAAATAAACTAAATATGTTTGTCTGGTAGTGATTGTTAATTAGGTAATTGGAAGGCTTAAAAAACTCATAATTATCTATTAAAGACATAATAGTGAGCACAAGAGAACACTACTGAAGCTGAAGTAGTGTGTGACGTCTGCCAGCCGTAGCCAGCGCCACAACGCAAAACAGAGCTGTCTTAATAGGTCCGGTATCAGGTTGCGATTGAACCAATAAAATACAAGTGGTGATGCAAGCGAACAGGAATGTTCTAACGTTTGATAACATGGCGTCGAGTCATCAAATAAATAAATCTTTCCATCAATATGATACGGTTGTACATTTGTTATATGTTTTTGTATAACTAGATTGTGACTCTCGCAGCCGGTACAAACACTTCCAACATTCAGGTCGGTCTCTATCTCTCTTCCATTCACCTCTTATGGGCTTCATCAGTCGACAAAAGTCGTAGTAAACCTTACTACGAGTATACAAACTTTAAGAAACACGCGTGTTAGTTGTTAGTAACCGATCCACTTTCATTCCAGGAGCACATTTGCACTTCAGCAAGGAGCCAACGCCTGTGTGACACGCTGCTCCACACGCTAGCAGAATGCCCGGCGTGGGTGGAGTAGAGGCGTGACCTCATGGGGGCCTGAAAATTTGGAAGGTAATAAAAGTAACACTACCTTCCATGGAGCGTATGACAGCCGGTAGCGAGAGGTCCCCCTCCGATGACTGCAATAAGGACCCGACGCCCAAGCCGCGCAAATTGACAGCATGTGATGCGTGAGCCGAGTCTACTTCCCGAAGCAGACGTGCCCGGAAACTGAGTTGATTTAGTCCCCTAATGCTGAAACATTGGAATTTTTTAAGTAAACCGGGGGTTTTGAAACAATGAACTAGACTGATTTCTGGCTTCTGATTGAACTTCTATTAGCTGAAGTGATATAGACAAATACGATGGACGACTCAACTAACAGTTTGTCATGAACGCCCGTCAAAACCAATACACTCAATCAATAGAAAATAAAAATATAATGTTTAGGTGTGAGGTCAAACACGAGTTAAAGTACCTTGCTGAGTAAAGTGGTAATGACAAATCGATCGCGTTACATCGCTCCAAGCCTTATAAGGCTTAGAGCGATATAACACGATCGATATATACGAGTACATATAGCGTGAACACAAAAAGAGAGGGCGTTAACTGTGGTTTGAGCGCAGGTTGCGCAAGAGAAGGTGCGTTGAGGCGACAACTGCGGGGGCGATGCATTTGGAGCTTTGGCCACCGATTATGAGCCTTGATCGTGCTGCGGCACTTTGTATGTACACAATAACCATTGTATTTAATTTTAAGTTTTTTGTATTAAACGATTTGTCCATGCACAGAGGTTAAAGCAGTAGTCTTGCGACGAAACCACATCAAATATTGTAGGTTCGCT